GACCTGCTGCCTTGTTTCGAATTCAACTCGTGTTTTCCAATAGATAAATAAGTTGTTCTAATACGTTCTCTTAAAAATGGCTTTGGAAACGGCCTAGTAGAATATATATACGTCGCATTACAGGAATATAGATATTTCCCATCACCTAGATCATGAAATATTGCCTTTACATAGGGTACCGAGTTGAGGACCGAAAAGGAAGTAGTTTCGTTAAACTAAATAACCAAATTCTGCTAATTAGTGTTCAAACAACTTTATAATACACCAAATTTAATATTGGGATGTGGGAGTTTCAAACTAGATAACAGCCCCTTGTCAGTCCTTCCTCGGTAGAAATATTAATTTAAATACGGTGAGCGATTATACTAAAGCAAGAAAGCGTAAGTGGATAAGATAAGTGGATACGCATAGTGACTAATTCTCATTTGGCGGGGGTAGTGAAAGGTGTACATCAGAGTTCCTTTAGGTATTGCCTATTATCGATACGATCTCATGTGTTCTTATTCTGGACTATAATTTTGAGGTGGGAAAAACCGGTACCTTTGACTAACGCCTTGTCAAGTTAATTGTTAACCCGATAACTATTCCTAATTCTAATACACTTTTTGTTTTGTTTTTTTTTTTAAATTTAATTTTTTTTGTTCCTTAATTCTAAAGGAAAGCGAATACATACGGCTAAGCAACAGCAATAAGATGAGAGAGATTAAATATTTTATTTCCAACTTAAAAGAAGGGAACACCAATATGCAGACAACTTAACTTCAATTTCTTCGAGGTTTTCAATATGACTTGAGGTTGGAACGGCACTTCCGTCGTATCTAGCTCTGACATTTGTCATCTTTCTTTCAAAGTGGTCCTCAGTACGATCATAGCTCCGCCCAGCAACCCGAAGTCATATTGGTAGTCTCTTTGGGAGAGCGCGTAAATAAAAAACCAGAAACTGAATGAAAGAAAAAATAAAATTGGTGGAAATGCACGTCTACACAAGAAAAGATACGAGAACTCTTAAAACACTTATTATAAGTCTATGCAAAATATGTAGACCGTGATATACGCGCCCTACTCAAAATTACTTGATCTATTGTTTTATGATTATTTAAAAAATAACCTGTTACAATTTTAAAGCTCAAAAGATTGTTACAGAACCAAGGTTTTAGTGACAAACGTTTAGCTTAAAACTTCTTAACTACTATTTTCTTATAGATGGATTTTGACTAGATATAATCTGTTCTCAGTCATGCCTAGCCTATCACTGTAACTTCGCTAGTCCTTGCCAACACCCCTCAGTAACAGATCCAGTGAAAACTACCCAGTGGTTTAATTCAGTCTACAGAGCGATAAATTAGCCTCCCCGATACCCGGCGAATAGTTTGTTTGTACCGGGCTGATTTTGTGCTTCCCCGGTCACTTTCTATCATGACTTCTACAGGACCTATTTCGTTGCTAATATTTGTTAAAAGAAGCGTAAATATAAAACATTATTACCATTGGCAAAAACCATGATAGTAAGTAAAAGAGGAATGGTTGGGAAACCCTTTGTTATAGGTTTTTGTTAGCTTTTTTGGACCTGACCGTGCACAACGCTCAATAGCATTCCTATCATTTTGAAGTTATTGACCAACAGAAACATTGTATTAATTTATTCAGTCATAATCTGCGAACAGAGAAGCCAAAGGATTGTGCACGGTCAGGGAGCTCCTAACATAAACTACAGCTCCATATATTGTTTTTAACTTTGATGTTTGCCGGCTTTCCTAACCAGTCTCCTCTACTAACTATGCAAAAAAAAAAAAAAAAAATACGGAGGGTGCATGTAATCAACCCCGCACAATAAAGTGTAAATAGTTTAGTCCTTCTCGCTAGAGCAATATGTAAAAGGGGTTTAAAGTTTTCATGCCGGTTAAGATGTAAGGTCTGCCACCATTTTCCACATTTATGGAAAGTACATCACTGAGAAGAAAAAAACAGTGGAAATATACCAACCCAGTGACGTTTTCTTCGAGAACCCAGTGAAGATGTAGATTCCACTGAGTTTTTTACAGTGGGGTGTTCGGAAATCTCTAAGACCATATACTACTGTTTGCTAGTAATTTGATAAACTAAAAATCTCAAGATATTTAGCTTTCATTTTAATAAAGTTGATTCCTTTTCTGCAAGCAAAATTAAAATCTACGTACTCCAAGCGAAAAATGAGGTACGGGAACTACAGTCACCAACGGGTTAAGTCGGTGATTTTAGTATGGTCACGTCACGTAGTTAACGTTACGGATGACTGGTAAAGACGCGACGAATGTCGGTGAACATTTACAGTAAAAAGGATTATTAAATAAGCGGTAAGTCCACTAGTAACTTTACTAAGTCATTTAAATTTTAAGCGTAAATTCTTTATCCGGAATGCTGAAAAGTAGCACCTAAGAACGGCAAAACGCCTTTTCATTGTTGTATTGAAACGCTTTGAAAAATTTTTGAGTACAATATGTAAATAAACTTTCGCCGTTTTCGTGAATACCCCAGGGGCGGTTAGTGCGGTCCTGAAAAACGGGGGCGAAAGATTTCAAGAACTAGCCTGCGTAGCAGGCGTCGAAATGGGTAAGGGATTGGAAGAAAGGGGAAAAGCGAGGGGGATTTGGGAGAGAGGCTACTGTGACTGGGCAACCAAAAATATTTTTGTGCTCAATCAGAGGCTAGCATCTATCGCGCTGCTTTCATGATCTTCTTATACGGAGTTTACCTGCAAGCTCGACTGTTTCCTCAACGCCCGTAAAAAATTCTCCCGTATGAGTCTGGCTCGTGCAGGATTTCTGCAATTTGACTGGCTTAGAGCAGTGGTATTTCAGCTTAATTTGAAACACCTACTTGTGAAAATTACAAACCTTTTGCGGGTAGTAGTATAAACAAATAATATCATGATTTGCACGTGATACGTGGCATAAATACCACTCGTGATATTTCACTCGTGGTATTTATGCCAAATATCACTACTAATCATGCTATTACCGACACTAATTCAGTCACAAAACAATGAAGTAAAAATCCAGTCCAGTCCACACTAATGCAATTATGAAAAGATTTGTTTGCGAGTTAAAACAGGTATCGAGAGCTCCGCACCTATGCCAAAAGTTTCCGCATCGCTTTCGTATCGCTCTCTCAGAGCGATTATTGCTTCAATAGGGCCAGCCATACTCTCGTGTTAAGCTTATGAACAATGTCATGCAGGGTAGATGTGACGTCAACGTGTTTTAAAAAATTCGTTTTAGCCAGTTCACACTGCAGTACTGGACCTGTGTTTTTTAAAAACTCAGCCTTTGAAAGCGTTTTCGAAAATCTTCTTTTTCGATTGCCTTGGTGTTTCTGGTTTCAAAGGAAAACGCATTAGCTTGGACGGGATTTAAGACTTGTGATTTTGTTTTGACAAAGTATTAGTTTTTCCAGATTCAACTTTGCAAACTATTTTACTAATCAAAAATGTTTTTTTTTTCGAAAATTATAATCAGAATCGTTGAAATACCAGCCTTAACCAATACTGGATGCATCACTTTTTGTAGATGAAAACACTCAAGATGGCCTCTGCTGTGCTATAGAACTCTCTCATGTCGTTGAAGTTGTTCCATTCAAAATTGTAAGCTCTCTTTGGAGTCACAATAGAGGTAACAAGTGCAAGATTGATGGTACTGTTTTGATTCGCAGTGTGTGGCATCTTTGATGCAACCTTAAGGGCAGTTGGTTCATGGTTTCCTTGAAGGATATTTCTTATTTCTGAGGAAAGTAAAAGTAGTTCAGTTTAAATGTTTCATTCAATAATTTTCCCGTGTTTAACATGAATTCTATTCCTAGACTAGCAGTAGTCCGTCATTTTCCTCAGGGATAGTAGGGCATGTGAAAATCGAGTGATCTTTCTTTTTATGTGCATCAGCTACGCACTACCCGAGGCGTATGAATCCGTATGTTACTAGAAGTATGTATCCGTATGTTACTCGTATGTAGCTGTATGTTACCCCGTATGTAACTCGTATGTAACTCGTATGTACCCGTATGTATCCGCATGTTAACCGTATGTTACTCGTATATATTAGTATGTACCCGTATGTATCCGTGTGTTACTCTTATGTTACCCGTATTTTACCCGTATGTACCCGTGTGGTGTTTAAGTCAACTGTGATAGCAAGTGTCTAGTAGTTTTACCTTTGATTGATATCTTCTTTTCTTTACTTTTGCGGCTAGGGTTATCTGATCTTCGCAGAGTACTTTTGAATGTCAGTGTCTTGTTTGTGACATTCAGAAATATGGTCCCNTTTCGAAAATTATAATCAGAATCGTTGAAATACCAGCCTTAACCAATACTGGATGCATCACTTTTTGTAGATGAAAACACTCAAGATGGCCTCTGCTGTGCTATAGAACTCTCTCATGTCGTTGAAGTTGTTCCATTCAAAATTGTAAGCTCTCTTTGGAGTCACAATAGAGGTAACAAGTGCAAGATTGATGGTACTGTTTTGATTCGCAGTGTGTGGCATCTTTGATGCAACCTTAAGGGCAGTTGGTTCATGGTTTCCTTGAAGGATATTTCTTATTTCTGAGGAAAGTAAAAGTAGTTCAGTTTAAATGTTTCATTCAATAATTTTCCCGTGTTTAACATGAATTCTATTCCTAGACTAGCAGTAGTCCGTCATTTTCCTCAGGGATAGTAGGGCATGTGAAAATCGAGTGATCTTTCTTTTTATGTGCATCAGCTACGCACTACCCGAGGCGTATGAATCCGTATGTTACTAGAAGTATGTATCCGTATGTTACTCGTATGTAGCTGTATGTTACCCCGTATGTAACTCGTATGTAACTCGTATGTACCCGTATGTATCCGCATGTTAACCGTATGTTACTCGTATATATTAGTATGTACCCGTATGTATCCGTGTGTTACTCTTATGTTACCCGTATTTTACCCGTATGTACCCGTGTGGTGTTTAAGTCAACTGTGATAGCAAGTGTCTAGTAGTTTTACCTTTGATTGATATCTTCTTTTCTTTACTTTTGCGGCTAGGGTTATCTGATCTTCGCAGAGTACTTTTGAATGTCAGTGTCTTGTTTGTGACATTCAGAAATATGGTCCCCGCGTGGGGAGGTTTGCTCACTGTGGAAAGCAGAGACGCAAATATTTTTAAATACCTTTTGCTTCTTTTACGTGACCAAAGTGAAAATTCAAGGAAAAGGTTGAGAAAAAACTAATAAACGTCGTTTAGTATAATAATCGTAAAAAAATGGAACCATACATAGGAATCGGTCAGGGACACCCAACGACTGTTTTCAAGGCGCAAGGGTGGCGCAATGGTGAGAGCACTCGCCTCCCACCAATGTGGCCCGGGTTCAAATCCCTGCGTCGACGCCATATGTGGGCGTTAAGTTTGTTGTTGGTTCTCTCTCTTGATCCGAGAGGTTTTTTTCCGGGTACTCTAGGTTTCCCCGCTCCTTCAAAATTCCAATTCGACCAGGAATCAGGTAGACGAAGAACCACTTAGTAGGTGTGCTTACACTACATCTTCTAAAAAGTTCTAGATAATTCGGCTGTCTTAGGCGAAGGGATTATCCTCTAACTTTACAGAGACATTAAGGGATGATGAAGTTAACGAGCGTCCATTATCAGTTGGTGCCCGTATTGCGTTTAACGGATATCCCATTTGTGCTAAATTAGGAAAACATGATTACGTGTCCAAGTCTGCAGATCGAATAAAAGATTTCACTCTGTGAGCAGTGAGCTCATTAATAAATGAATAGTTAAAACCTCTCGTGTGTCCTGTCTTCCTTGAATGCAGTTTCTTAAGCACTTTAAGCGCTCCTTAACAATTTCTGCTGAAATCATGCCTGCCTCTCAGTGCCATTCGCGCTGAATTCATTCATTAAGGTTACAATCTGCACCCAATTTCATACCAAAAGAGTAAAAATCCACGCCCTTTTGCGCCACATTTATCTCTAGAGCCTCTACAAGGGAGTATACCTTTCACACGACAAACATCAAAACTGGCACTTCCCGATGGCTTTAAAGCAATTATCTGATTATCAATCAGTATACTTTATCCCCAAGAGACTATAAAGGGGACAGAGAGGGCATCCCCCATATACACCCTCTTCCATAGGTAATTCGTCTCGAGTTATTTTTAGAATCGGGATAAAGTTACCTCGCGCGAGGCGTGGATGTTTGGTGGAGGTTTCGCATGACCAAACGCCGTGCAAAACATGTCGGGCGAGAGGCAATGAAAGCGTAAAAAGATAGAGAGCATTCCTGAATATTGAAGCGAAATGAGTCGGCGCTCACCTGGGAAAAAGGAATCGCTGGACTCTTTGACAACCCGTGAAATCAGTTTAATTCGAAGTTGTCGTAACCTCAGTGCTTTAATAAAATGAGAAATTTCGCCGGCCTATTGAAACCGGTCGTTTGTACAATTTAGGGAGTTTAAGACCTAACGACGCGGACGACAACTAGAACGTCAAAGTAACAATAGGTTTAATTAGCAAAACAACAACTTCGCACGTGCAACACACTTTTTTGTTCATTTCTTTCCCGTTTTTGCACGACTACGACGTGAAAATGCCTAATTTCGCGTTTTATGGAGGACGTAAATAAGCAACGACGAAATTTTATTCCTCTTTCTGAGCTTAGATATGGTCCCTTGAAATTCAGCTTTAGGAGGGTTCGCCTACAATTGACAAAGTAAGTGGGTAGGAATAATCGCTACAAAGACTGAAAAAAATAAACATCAAACCAGAAACTGCTCTCTTCAATCTGTAAATTATAAATGATCCTGAGAGAATATTCAGTGTGTTAAGGATTTCCCTGCTCTACTGTTGGCTGTATACAAGAGAGGAAGGGCGATTCTTTTTTAATTTCGGTTTCGCTGACACAGCTTTCGCAGAAATCTCAGGGTAGTCGTTTTCGTCGACAAAAGGAATAGCAAAATCGCTCTCCGCGTCTTCTCCCATTTTGTTCTGCGTCATTTCGTGAAGGACGCGTGGCTCTCAGCGTGGGTCATCTACGCGGAACACATTCGCGCTATGTGATTGGCTGTTGTCTAATCCCCCTTGAGATCTGTGGTGTTAAAAATAACTCGAGACGAATTACCTCTGGAATAGGGTGTATATAGGGGATGCCCTCTCTGTCCCCTTTATAGTCTCTTGTTTATCCCACATTAATAATTAACCAACCTTTCCTGGCATAAAGTGTGACATTGACGCCGGATTCAAATTTACGAATGGCTCGTCGTTCTTTAAAGGTAGTAGACAATCCTGGAAGAACGGGACACAGAGTCCTATACCTGATACCAACAGCTGTCGCTAGAATGCCACCAATAACGGCCCCATCATCTGGGTCACTCAGGGCAAGGTGATCTCCTGGACAGATGTAAACGTCAATGTTACCTAGAGATGTAGAAAAAGAAGGAGAAAAAAAAATTGGTGTCAAGTTTTTAATTCAGTGTTTAAAAAAATTCAAAACCGCTTTGGTTTTCAAGCCCTTCCTTCTGTGAATTGGTTAAAAATCTTCCACCACCGTTTCCCGATCAATCTGAGATTGACACTATCAATATGTATGCAGTTGCAGTGGTCAGGTACTCAGCAGCTTTTGTGAACTGGACAAAAGAGGATCTTGACAATTTGGATCGAAGGACCAGGAAACTTATGACAATGCACAGTGCCTGCCACCCAAAGGCTGTATCTTNGCTACGTGAAAGCATTTCCACGTATACTGCGATCTAATGGCTTAGTAGTTAAAGAAATTGCTAAAATACTGTAAGTACCGTCCTCTGCGATGGGAGTTAAGGAAGCAATACCCAAAGTATGACGTCGATTAGTGTAATATTGTCATTGATATGCTGGGAGGGTGACCAAAAATCCTTGAGCTGACTATGAAAACTCGCGCTCGTTGGTGTAAGGGGAAAGGATGTTTTCCGAAGAATGTAGAAAGCCTCAGTCTTGTGCTTGCTCAACGTAGCTGAACTTAGTAAGGACGTATTATGACCACGTTTTGTTAAGATCGCAGTAGTGACGTTTTAAGTGGTTTTTAAGGATCGTCTAGATTCTAAAAATGTATTTTTTACTTTTTATTTCTTAGCTGTATTTTATTACCTTGACGCTTACCCTTCTGTATGATTGTATTTTTTTTTTAAATTTGCCTTTGTAACTCTCCATAACACAGTTCGTTTTTTTAGAGTAAGTTAGTTCCTTGCAGGCCACATAGGCTACAATGTGCGCCCTCCGTGGTCAACAGATTGCATTCTTACGTTTTTTACTGCATACTACTACTACTACTACTACTACTACTACTGCTACTACTACTACTAATAATAATGATAATATTAATATTAATAATAATAATAAACAGTTATGTAAGGACTTACCATCCACCAACAAGGACCAAGAAGAGTCCGAATCCTCCTGAAGAGGTCTGGTAGGTGCGTATCTTTGGTCTGCACTCTTCAGATAGGTGATGGGTCCCTTAAAACGGACCTTTTAAACGCAGAAAAATACAGCTTTTTAGGTTAGTTTTCTTCTAGGTTTGATTTAGGTATTATTTTTTAACAAAAACAAGAACATTAAAGAGGGTCTCAATAGGCTTAACCGTCAGCCGTAAAAGAAGGTTTTTTTTTTTCGGATTGTTTACTGTCAACCGTTAATAAGAGTAATATCAACCGTCAAAACGTTTCAAGGAATTTCAAATCGCACTATTTCAACTGATCTTCATGGACTTTTGGCTCCTGAAGAAACTTTACAACTTTGCTATATCTTAAAATAGTTGGAAATTTTATATGTGAAAGGCCAAGGCAATGTCCAAAACACAATGGTTAAATTAAATTTATACAGAAGTTAATATTTACTTTAACTCTTAAACTAAATTTTCACTAACCATCAACCGTCAAAAGTCCTAAAATTTAGCTGTTAACCGTCAAAGCTACCACCCCATTGAGGCCCTCATTAAAACAGAAGAATAGGAATTTTAAGCGCTTTGCAAGTACTGGACAGTTTAGGAACTAACAAACGAACGACATTGTCAGGGTAATCTGACAGTTTTAACCACCAGCTGCTTAATTGAAAACACCTGGCAAACTTAATTTCTTGTACAGGTTATTAAAACATTTAATCGATAGTAGAAAATAAAAATTATACAACCAGTCGCACGTCGTTACTTTTGTTGACCGCACGAGAACGCCACCTACACGCGTCTTAAAACGTGTATCTTGTATCTCGACCCCAACTCCGGTTGAATTAGTATAGCATTGAAATTACTGACGATGATCAGCTTTAATTTAGAACTAAACAGACGTTTTTAAATCTAACCTGAGGTGCCTTCCATTCCCTGTGTTTGTTCGTAGCCATCTTGTTGTCATGGTGAAGGGAATCCCGAAGCGCTCTAATGTCATAAAGTGGAATGTTTTCAGCAGCGGCTCTCTTCTGAAGCAATGTCATTGTGCTTTCCAACGCCTCCTTTTCTCTCAATTCTTTATATTCATCAGCTGTCATTTTTAAGTTTGTGGTGGCCATTTTGTAAAGTACTTGTTCAAATGTTGCCTTCAAGAAAAAAAGAAGTAAACATGTCATGAATTACAGGGTTGCGTACTCTACAATGCAGTATCGTGCAGGCTGTAAAAAGGAAAGATGACTGAACTTGTTTTAAAACTACATTTCTTTTGAATTACGACAAGCTACTGTGCAATGTTTAAGGACCGCGGGGGGAACTTGGGTAAATTTTTGCTGGGTGTGTGCCGCTGGCCTCTCAGAGCCCCTACCCCATTAAGCCCCTATTCTGTGGCCAATCAAAGACCCCGTTTTAGTCACTTTTGGCAAATATGTAATTTTCGTCATCCCAACTTAGTGACTTTCATTTATGTAACTACCCCATACTGAAGGAGGAAAAAAAATTCTGGTACGTTTGCTGACCATAAATATGAAGAACTGTCTTACCCCAAAAATCAGAAAATGTGCCACCCTATTCTAGTAACTCTATTGAAAATGTGACCCCGTTTTAGTCCATCCAGTCGGGAAAATGCGACCCCATCCAGCGGCACATCCCCATTAGCCTCTTATAAGGAAGCCGTACCCCCCGGGGATTAAGGCCTTTTATACAACAATCTCTTTTTCCTGACTCAAGGTTATCAAATAAGCGCATAGAAACCTCGACAAACGCAGAACCAAGCTTTTCTCACGATGCACTACAAACGTAAAGTGCATGATCACAGTTCAAACTGGACATAAGAGAGTTCTAAAACGTTTCTTTCTCAATTCAACGTTTTGGCTACTGACGAGATTAAGTAATTCAATAGAGCATTTGTTGCAGTTTTCTTTAAAGAAAAAAAGACAAAGTTTTTGCCATTTTCCAGGCTTTTTCCAGGTCTGGAAAACTGGTTTTCAAATGTCAAATCTTTTTTAAGTTTTCAAGACTCTGTACGAACTGCCTTTAGTAAAGAGGGGTGGGAGGGGAGGGTGGTGCAGTGGTGACAGCACTTGCCTCCCACTAAATGTGGCCTGAGCTCGAATAGAGAGGAGAAGTCGTTACGTCACGATGCCATAGTAGCAAAATTTTTGGATGACATCAAACCGATAAAGTCACTTAAAAGTCTATTCGCACTATTTCAAACTTCACCGATCTTATTCAATTTCATTTAATTTGGCAAATCTTGGCGAAGTTTTCTTTAGGACCGTATTTGTCGTTATCTAAGTTTAGGAAAAGAAAGCGACAATTTTTGTGTTGTGTTCACCTACTCCATAAAGCGGGCTCGTGAAATTAGGAAGGTTCATGTCGTAGTGGTGTAACGACGGCAACGAAATGTACAAAAATAGCGTGATGCACGTGCAGTTGTTGTTTGTTACTATAAACATAATATTTTTTGCCGTTCTTCTTGCTGTCGCCGTCGTCGTCGTCGTCATTCTTCTCTATTCCTGACTGAAATATCGAGAATCTGCCGACTTGCAAAATCTTGCAAAATTTCATCATTAATCAGCAATTATTGAACGAGGCTGAGTATCATCTGAAGAATTATGGAGATCGAGAAGGGTATCATCCGACGAGGCCGTAGGCCTCAGTGATCTCCACAATTCTTCAGATGATACGAAAGCCCAATTCAATAATT